TATTCCCCAACTGGAAATCCCCAAAAGCCTAGTGTTAATGAAAATTAGGTCTGTGAAATCAAGTGCTCAGAAGTCATCAACAAACATTTGATGATTTTTGAATTTGAACTCTGAACTATAATGTTAACTCTGCCACCGTGTATATCCTGTATATTTTATGAAATGGATTCAACACTCTGCTAATGATCAAAACTGGGACTCACAAAAAATACATGTGCACCACAGCAGAATTAAACACGCAATAGAAGTAACTTCCAGAAGTTCCTGACTTGACTGCTTGATTATAACCCTAACGCTGCAATAATGCTAAGCTTCTCATATCTTTTCCCTGATTAATGGCAGTGTCAGGTGATGCCAGACTGTGCTTAGCCTTCAATGCAGGTGTTTATAAAAAACAATACAGAAACAGTCTCACATGCGTGCAAGAATTCCAGCTGGAATAGAAGAGGGGGGTGCTGAGATGGACATATTTGTTCCCAACCTCTCACAGCACATGCACACAGCACCCCCACATAAAGTTATTTTTGGACAGAAACAGAGCCTAAGAAATTTCAAACCAAAAAGGAATCTGAGTAAAGTTATGAGTAATTTATAAAGGGTTAGTTGAAGTTTAACACAGTAGTCAGTCCCAGTAACTACTACACATAGCTGTGCTATTCTGTTAGAACCTGAACTTCTGAGTCCTGGGAAAATATGCATTGTGACATTTCCAGGGTGGACTGATTTAAATCAGCTTTTCCATTTGTATTTCAGCTATTTTCTAAAGAAAGATGCACTCATTAGTTGATATACCCATTAAAACACCTTGACTTACAACTAAATGGACATTTTACAGTAGATTTGGTACATCTGTTTGCTACCTAGAAGTGTACACCATAACTATATACATTTAAGGAATTATATAGCTTAATATTTTCAGATTCTTATTAACCAAACACTTTTAGTATGTTAGAAAATGGTGAACGATATATTGCTTATTTACTAGATAATTAACTTTTTGCTCATGTTTTGTGTCAATCTGCATTAGAATGGTGACTGGAATTTAAACAAACAAAACAGTATATAAAATGTATTTGTATTAAACAAGACAACCTTAAATGTTTTAGACACAAACTTCTCTTATCAAAAGATGCTTCACAATGACAATTAAATAATTTATTAAATAGAGGGATTAACTGTAGTCAGTGAATTAAACTGATTATTTCAGGTTGGTCTGAGCAAATTTTCAAATATGCCTAAGTGAAAGTAACTGCGGCTTAAATTTCTAGTCTCGCCTATGTCTCTTGAAAAGAAATTACCTAAATTACCTAGGCCAGGGGTCGGCAACCTTTCAGAAGTGGTGTGCCGCATCTTCATTTAATCACTCTAATTTAAGGTCTCGCGTGCCAGTAATATATTTTAATGTTTTTAGAAGGTCGCTTTCTATAAGTCTATAATATATAACTAAACTATCATTGTATGTAAAGTAAATAAGGTTTTTAAAATGTTTAAGAAGCTTCATTTAAAATTAAATTAAAATGCAGAGCCCCCCCAGACTGGTGGCCAGGACCCAGGCAGTGTGAGTGGCACTGAAAATCTTCTTGCGTGCCACCTTCGGCACACGTGCCATAGGTTGCCTATCCCTGACCTAGGCTAATCAACTGTACCATATTTTTGAAACTTGACCTCAAAAGTTAGATGCTTTCCCTGAATCTTTCTTTATATAAAAAAGAAGCTTTTAATTCAAAGTGGGGTTTTTTTTTGTTTTTTTGTTTTTAGAGAGGGTCATGGATTCAGCATATTTATTTGTTATTTAAATGTCTTATTATAATCTTCTAAGTTTAGGCCTCAACATATTTTGTATTAAATTCTGATTTCATTTTAAACTGGCTCATTTTTAAAAAGAAAAACTTATAAGTAACAAAAATTTGTAAAAAGGAATTTTATTTAACTTTAAAAAAAGTCTTCCAATTTTTATCCACCTTGGACCTTTCTGTAATTATGACATCACTGCGGCTATCCTAGTCCCAGACCCAGCACTTTCAAGCAGCTGGTATATTCGTTTGCAGTGCTCCGCTGCCCGGGAGCAACCCTAGACTCCCACTCTCAGTGACTGCAGGGACGAGGCACAGCTCCTTGATGAGATGAGCTTGGAGGGCTATGTCAGAACACGGGTCAGTTTTTCAGCATTTCAGTTCTTTGCTATCCCCCTTTTTAGGCCCACCCTAACAAGGGAGATTAGCAACCAATGTAAGGTGCCCCTAGGCAAGAAACCTAAGAGTAAAAGGATGCTAACAGCTGCCTACTCTAACAGGAGAGTTTAGGAAATGGAGGGGGAGGAAAGGAAGGGTTACATCTCAGGAACATTCAGAGGAAGTTTACAGCGTCCAGTGGACTAAACCGTGTCGTGTCCAGTCCTCAAAGCAATATGAAGACTACTAAATGTTACAGGAGAACAACCCCCCCCCCCCCCCGGACACTTTATCTGACTCTCCCCAGATGCCCTTTGGGAGCAAGAGGTTCAGGGAAACACCAGCTGCTCATCCCATTCCTTTCACTCGACTCCTACCTGCTGAGCACGCAGCAGAGCGGTCCTCCTGTACATGTAATCCTCCGATTTGATCACGTACACCATCTTATAGGAGTTCAGTTTGAATTTACACTCCAGCTTGTCCAAGCTCTCCACATTCTCCATGGACTTCTTACTGTTTCCCTCCTTCCCTTCCTTCTCCTGCTGCTCCCGACCACGCTGACACTTACGGATCCGCCTCAGGTTCCTGTAAACCAGAGAATCCCTGCTGGGATTAGTGCTCATCCTCTGTCCACTAGGCTGGACGTATGTGGTGGCTCCAGGCCAGCCCTTCGGAACCCAAAGTATTACTCAGAGTGGAATGGTCACAAATTAAAGTTGGTTAGGCTCATGTGCCTACCATAAGCCAACCCACTGATCTCAGCTGTTTACAGAGAGTGAGGGCCTTTCAAAGCTATTTTGCAACCAACTCCCTGCTAATGAAAAGCTCTGACTCAGCACCTTCCGCACTTAGCTAGAGGGCTACTGTAAGCAAAGGCAGGATTGCCCAAAAAAAAGGGGGCTGGTGACTCCCCAAACCTCTGACCTCCCTGCTGCCTGTGGACTATGCCCTCTCTCAGTCACTGGAGAGCAGGAGCCCAGGGTGGGCTCTTGGAATAAACAGCAGCACTGTGTCTCTATATGCTACTCCCAGGTTAATGTCTTCTAAAGTGGCAGAGTACTAAAAACAAACAAGAGACTGCAATAGCCAACAATGTGACGGAGTAAGATTTTCTCCCTCTGCTGACATGGGTACTTGTGGTCTGTGTGTCACTTTTCACAGCCACGGCTTGTTCACTCACCTCGGCAGGAAAACCGGCTTCTGGGCCAGGTGTTCCCGAAGTTCGGGAGAAGTAGAATCAGAGTTGACGTACCGCTCTACGTAGTCTGACCAACGCTGAAATTGGGCACAGAACACAAGGGGTTAACCAACATCTGCCAAATCAAACAATTCAAACCCAACTCTGAAGGGGTTTGGTTGGAAGTGGATGAAAGAAAAGCAATCTTTGGAGACTCCATATATTTCACACAGGTCCCACTCACTCTCCCCCCATGGATGGATATACCTATACCTATATCATAGAACTGGAAGGGACCCTGAAAGGTCATCGAGTCCAGCCCCCTGCCTTGACTAGCAGGACCACGTACTGATTGTTGCCCCAGATCCTTAAGTGGCCCCCTCAAGGATTGAACTCACAACCCTGGGTTTAGCAGGCCAATGCTCAAACCACTGAGCTATCCCTCCCCCTATATGCACCTGCACTGTCTGGTTTTTGAAATTGTTAATAAGAGATGCCAACAAGGCTTGTTCAATCCAATTCACTGAGTGCACTGTGTCACATAATCAATGTGTCCTGTAGGACTAGAAGCAGGTCATAAACTATAGCATCTGAAACACTGACAGCTCTGCCATCTTCATCCAGTTATACCCCCATTTAAACTTTACATGCTTAATAGCTGCAGCTGAACTCCGAGGACAATCGGCTCTTACCTCTGCCTCTACGGGGTCATCCGAGTTCTCCTCTTCGGTGTCCAGCAGCTCGATGGTTAATTGGACCTGGCCTCTGCTCTGAATGAACATCAGCTACAAAGCAGAATGCGGAAGGGGACTTAGTAACCAATTATTCAGAAAAATAAATCCAATAAACTTTATGCAACTCTCCAGCATAATACTGTGCCTCCCACTTTGCTGGGAACAACGGGGGGATACTAGCCCCAGTTACACAATCTGAACACAGAAGGAGTTTTGACAATGAGTGGAAAGTTCTAGATCACTAAGGAGCTAATCTAACAAAGGGTAAAAGGATAAAGAAATTATTCTACATATATGGGCAGAAGAGAATTCCTGGATAGAGAACCATGACATACTTAAAGAGAGGTGGAAGAAAAAAGCATGAATTGCTGCAGTGAACGGTTGGTATTTTATTAACGATCAGACAAAATCTCTCTGTTACCCACAGAGTTTGCTCGAAATTGGGATGTTTATAAAGGCAAAGCAAGGAGCTGGACCCCTTTTAGCAGCATGCTGTTTTCTGATCAATTTGTGCAGTTTCAATTCTTTGCTTCCCTGCTTATTTTGAGACTCTCAGCGGGAACACAGAGACGCCCTATAACTATCAAAGCCATTATCAATGAATTTCACTAGTTCAAGATGGGCCCGGACACTTCTGATTTCACAGTGACAAGAAGTATGAATTTGATTTGAACGGTGAGTCAGGTTTATTTAACGCATAGGTGACAAATATTAGTAAGAGACCGTTACAGTCTACAATGGATGAGATGGAGAAAAAGGTGGAAAGCGTCAGTGACCCACCCCACGGGAGGGAGGGAGAGACAGAGATTAAAAGCCTAGTGACAGCAATCACTCAATACAGTATTACTCTGGCTTTGGGACACTGGGAAATACAGGGACAAATCCCAGCTTTACTTCAGGATACCTATTTTTCCATCTTCCTTGCAAATGTCCCATTTCCGAGGAACTCTTTATAGAAATATTTATCTGTTTTTTCTGTTCATTCCACAGTTCCTGTCTGGACTGATGCAAGCCCCGCCAAGGGCTATATTAAGACCGACAGTCACAGAGCAGGTACTCGGCAGCTCCACCAGGCTAGAATGCACAATCAGGTCGCCCTGTCAAGCTCTATGACAGCTGCGGAGCACACAGGTGTCCAGAGGTCCTTGGGATATTTGGATAGTTACGTAAAATGAAAAGCTGAGCCCATTCTCCTTTCTCAGCGAGCCTTCGTACTTCCCCTCCTCTCTCAGCAAGCTCCTCCAGGAGTCCTCCTCAAAGCGTCACTGCAGGTAGATATGGTTTTTACCTTGAAACAGTTCTCGTCTGACATGAGCTGCTCGGCTTTGCGCTGGTACGTGGCCTCCACAAGGGCCCGAGATGACTGTGACGACAGCAGGCCTCCGGTAGCTCCGTTGCTATTCTCCGACAGGTAAAGGTCTGTCACCTGCACGCAGATCTCATCACTCACTATGTGCTGAAGCTGGCAGCAGGAAAGACACGGAGAAGAAAAGTTAGCGAAGAGGGTTTTAAATGCCTCTGGACTTGGTGCACTGTATACTGCAGTAGCCCCCTTTCCCCAACCCAAGTCAGTCAGAGGGCTTTGCACTAGTGTGCACCATGGACAACCTGCCTTCTGCAGTCAGGCCGTAGACAAAATAGAACACTAAGAAAATCTCCAAAATAAACTTCTCCATGTGGCAACAAGCAGAGCTTGACATTAATCAAAACAAGCCAGGCTGAGCCTTCATCATTTGCCTGCACTTCTAGACTTACATGTTTGCATGCAAACACTTATGTCAAAAGCTATAATTGATGAGAGGGAAACTATTTTATCTCCCCTGCATACATATACGCTGTGGCAGAATTGGTCAGATTTCCAGTTCTTCTCCACTATGCACCATGCAAGTCTCAGAACCAGCTAAAGAATATGTCCATCAATGCAGATTAGAAATGAACATACCCTTAAAAATTCCTGCTTCAAACCTTTGTCTGGTCAAACCACAGCAAAAAAAATTCTAGCCATCTAAGTATTAAAACTAAAAAACAATTATTTAGGTTATGAACACGGTAGCCTCTTCTATTGTGAATTACTACTACACCCATTGGAAAACATTGTGTCCTTTAAAATAAATAATGATGCTGGCAAAGTACAGTTACACATACAAAGTAACTACGGATTAATAACCTTTAAGTGAGCATTATGAAGGAAATGCCTGACAGCTGGCAAAGATTTAGACTATCGAGGTACGTGGGAAGGGCTTGTTAGGCAGTTCTCTTGCCATGAAATCGCTACACCAAATCCAAAAGTTGATTAGTTGGTTGTTTGTGGAGGGGAAATTAAAAATAAATTAAATCAAATTCTAATTATTAATTATATTCCCAAATTTAAATAAAGAGCCGGTTGGCTGCCAATTTCCTGTCAAAACTGAAACTAAAAAAAAAGACTGTTACTCACCTTTGTAACTGTTGTTCTTCGAGATATGTTGCTCATATCCATTCCAACTAGGTGTGCGTGCACCGCGTGCACGATCGTCGGAAGATTTTTACCCTAGCAACACTCGGTGGGTCGGCTGAGGCGCCCCTTGAGTGGCGCCCTTATGGCCCTGGATATATGCCACTGCCGACCCAGCACCCCCTCAGTTCCTTCTTGCCGGCTACTCCAACAGAGGGAAGGAGGGTGGGTTTGGAATGGATATGAGCAACACATCTCGAAGAACAACAGTTACAAAGGTGAGTAACCGTCTTTTCTTCTTCAAGTGCTTGCTCATATCGATTCCAATTAGGTGACTCCCAAGACTTACCTAGGCGGTGGGGTCGGAGTGAGATGTCGCGGAGTGAAGGACCGCTGAACCAAATGCAGCATCACCCCGGGAGTGCTGCACTATCGCATAGTGGGAAGCAAAGGTTTGTACCGATGACCAAGTTGCTGCCCTACAGATCTCTGTATGAGTACATGAGCCACGAAGGCGGAGGACGAAGCTTGAGCCCGGGTGGAGTGGGCGGTAAGGTGCATAGTTGGGACACCAGCCAAGTCATAGCACGCACGGATGCATGATGTGATCCAGGACGAGATGCGCTGGGTGGAGACCAGAAGGCCCTTCATCTGGTCTGCCACAGCTACGAACAGCTGGGTCGTCCTCCTAAAAGGTTTCGTTCGATGTAAAAGGCGAGGGCCCTATGAACGTCTAGCGAGTGCAACTGTTCTCGTTGAGAAGCGTGCGGCTTCTGATAGCAGACCGGAAGGAAGATGTCCTGGTTGACATGGAAGACAGACACCAACCTTAGGAAGAAAGGCGGGGTGTGGTCGCAGCTGTACCTTGTCCTTATGAAACACCGTATACGGTGGGTCCGACATGAGGGCTCGAAGCTCCGAAGTGATAGCGGCGAGGAAAGCTGTTTTCCAGGAAAGGTACAGGAGCAAGCAAGTGGCCATCGGCTCGAACGGGGCACCCATGAGTCTGGATAGGACCAGGTTGAGATCCCACGTAGGGGCCGGATGCTGAATTTGCGGGTACAGACATTCCAATCCCTTGAGGAACCTGCTGACCATGGGGTTGGAGAAAACCGAGCGCCCATTTTCGCCCAGGTGGAAGGCCAAAATCGCTGCTAGGTGTACTCTGATGGATGAAACTGCCAGGCCTTGCTGTTTCAAGGACAAGAGATAGTCTAAGATGGTAGGTACTGACACCTCCAGAGGGGCAGGATTGCTCAGGGCACACCAGCAGGAGAAACGCTTCCACTTGGCCAAATACGTGGACCTAGTAGAGGGCTTTCTGCTACCCAAAAGTACGTGCTGCACCAAGCGGGAGCAATGTAGCTCAGATTGAGTTAGCCATGCAGCATCCATGCTGTGAGATGGAGGGATTGCAGGTCTGGATGACAGAGTCGGCCGTGTTCCTGAGTGATCAGGTCCAACCACAACAGAAGTGGAATTGGGGTGGTCACCGACAGATCGAAGAGAGTGGTGTACCAATGTTGCCTGGGCCACGCCGGGGCGATCAAGATTAAGCGGGCCTTGTCTCTGCGCAACTTGAGAAGGACCTTGTGGACTAACGGGAATGGAGGAAAGGCGTAGAACAGATGGTCTTTCCACAGTATCAGGAAGGCGTCCGATAGGGAGCCTGGGGAGTGCCCCTGCAGAGAACAGAACACCTGGCACTTTCGATTCTCGCAAGAGGTGAAAAGGTCTATATGGGGAAACCCACACTTCCGGAAAACAGAATAGATAACTTCCGGGTGAATCGACCACTCGTGAGCCGGAAAGGATCTGCTGAGGCGATCTGCCAAGGTGTTCTGGACTCCTGGGAGAAACGATGCCACCAGGTCGATCGAGTGGGCTATGCAGAATTCCCACAGGCGAATGGCTTCCTGACAGAGGGGGGACGATCGTGCTCTCCCTTGTTCGTTGATGTAAAACATGGCCGTTGTGTTGTCTGTGAAAACTGCGACACAACGGCCCTGAAGGTATTTGCAGAACACCTGACACGCCAGGCGCACTGCTCTCAGTGCCTGTACGTTGATGTGCAGGGATAGCTCTTGTGTGGACCAAAGGCCCTGTGTGCGAAGGTCTGCAAGGTGAGCGCCCCAGCCCAGAGATGATGCGTCCGTGCTTAGGACCAGGGAGGGCTGTGGGACATGGAATGGCATCCCTCCGCATACCGAGCGGGGGTTCAGCCACCGGACCAGGGAGGTTAAGATTTCCATCGGTACCGTGAGCACTGTGTCTAAATTGTCCCGGCCTGGGCGGTACACGGATGAGAGCCAGGCCTGAAATGGCAGGAAGCGCAGTCTGGCATGTCTGGTCACGAAGGTGCAAGATGCCATGTGTCCCAGTAGACTGAGGTACGTGCGTGCTGTTGAGGTCGGAAAGTTTTGGAGGCTGTGGATAATGTTCACCATGGACTGGAAGCGGGCATGTGGTAGGCACGCACGGGTGAGATTTGAATCCAGGACTGCTCCGATGAAGTCTATTCTTTGGGTCGGCTGCCAAGTGGACTTTTCGACATTGAGTGTGGAAGGTAGGCCGAGTTTGACCGCAGTACGCACCGGGGAGCTTATGTGCACCGGACTCAACGGCGTTTGTGGCGCCGGAATCGACGGTGCCGGAGTTGGAGCCTTTGCGGCGCGGTCCAGCACGGGACACTGCTCCAAGGGGGGCACAGGAGGTGCCGGCAACTGTACAAGAGCAGCAGGTTGCTTGTGCTGTTTCTTAGGTCCCGGAGACAGCGAGCAGTGCCGCGCTGGTAGCGGTGCCAGAGACGTCCGGTGCTGGGAGTCTTTGCCGGTGCCGGGTTGCGAAGTTGTTGTTTCCGGTGCCGGAAGCACGCTTCAGACCAACGGCGCTGCGTCTCGGCGCGAAGCCGAGGACATTGGGCTAAGTGCCGCTTCCATCAGTAGCTGCTTCAAGCGAAAGTCCCGCTCCTTTTTAGTCCAAGGCTTGAATGCCTTACCAATGCGGCACTTATCTGATTGATGGGATTCCCCCAGGCACTTCAAACAGGGTCGTGGGGGTCTCCCGTAAGCATCCGCTTAAGGCAGGCCAAGCACGGTTTGAAACCTGGAGACCTAGGCATGAGCCCAGGTACCGGGAGGGAGGGAAGGGGAGAAGCCCCTTACCCCCAATTACTATGTACACTAACAACAATTACTACTATTAACTACAACTAGAAACTACTAACAACTACTCTATAACAACTATCTACAAGTATAAACGAGCTAAGAGCTAGGGAAGTGGAGATCAGCTAAGCCACGCTCCACAGTTCCAACGAGCATCATGGGCGGCAAGAAGGAACTGAGGGGGCGCTGGGTCGGCAGGGGCATATATCCTGCACCATAAGGGCGCCACTCCAGGGGCGCCTCAGCCAACCCACTGAGTGTTGTTAGGGTAAAAATCTTCCAACGACTGTGCACGTGGCGCGCGCGCACCTAATTGGAATCGATATGAGCAAGCACTCGAAGAACTTGTTTTTAGCCCTGTCTTTATACTCTAATTTATGCTTAACAATTCTCCATAGAAATGGGATCATCAAGGTAGCCAGCATGTGAGAGTTGATACTTGGGCTTACAGAGTTCAAGTGACAACAAGCAGCTGAAAGCCACAAATATACCACCTTCAAGAGCCAGCCAGCGTGCGTGAAATCCAGAAGGAAGTTGTTATTCAAAAGAAATACAGAACCTTTTCCAAGAGTCCTTACAGTTTTGGTTCTTGTGTTTACAAATGCTTCAGGTTTTCTAAGAGCAAGAGAACACTTCAAACGTGGTCCCATCTGATACTAGGCATCTCTTGGATAGTGGAGGACAGTCTGCACTTGGTAAGGCAACTCCCATCTTTTCATGCGCTGTATATTTATACCTGCTTACTATATTTTCCACTCCGTGCATCTGATGAAGTGCGTTTTAGCCCACAAAAGCTTATGCCCAAATAAATCTGTTAGTCTCTAAGATGCCACAAGGACTCCTAGTTTTTTCTTTTTTTTACTGATACAGACTAACACGGCTACTCCTCTGAAACCTGCCTTAAGAATGAGGCTTGAACATACCTGAGGAGTGTATTACAGTCACACACTAGGTGGACCACTTATTACAACACAGTGCTAACGGCACTATCTTTCTGAATGAGGAGCTTTACTATAATCCCCCTGATTACTGGATCACTTGATGAGTTAATTCCCTCTGAAACACCTGGCATTGGCCACTGTCGGAAGACAGGATACTGAGATAGATGGACCTTTGGTCTCACCCAGTATGGCCATTCTTATGATTTCAGGCACATGCTACATTCTGAAAAAAATCCTCTGGGCTCATGTTATTCCTGCCCTCAAGACAGATAGAATTTTGTTTAAAATACACATCTATCTGAATATTCAATCTTTTTGCTTTTTATAGAAGGTTTACAAATCCTCAAAAACAGGCATTTTAAATATTGTTAAGCACACTTAATGTAGCAATTTCTTTGTTAAAGCAACATTACTTGGGGAAGTGTTGTTATGTCAGATACACGTACCTTTAAAGAAGCTGAAGAGGGAAGACAAAGCACCACGGGTCGCTGGGTAACCTAAATATCTGTACACACCTTGTTGAGCCTCATCACTTAAATACACTAACACTTATCCTCTCCCATCTCCAGAAATATGTTAGAGAGACAGGAGGAAACCCCTGTTTTTCTCTCCTCCACTCTGAAATACACCACACAAATACATTCAACATTCCCAAGCTTCCTTTAAACCTTGGGGAGTGCTCTTTTGTGGGAAAGCATCAGCTACTTCCCCTTTATCACCTGGACACCACCCTTCCCTTCCCCTGACAGTATGCTGCAAGTCACCTGTCTAACAATGCTCTGGATCAGCTTGTCCATGGTAAAGGCGATGTAGGCATGAATGGTGAACATCTCACGCAGGGAGTCCTCATACTGGGACGAATCCATGTTGCCATCTAGCAGGTTCCGCACCATATCCAGGAAAGCTGGGTAGTAATCCTCCACATCAATATCCACTAGAGGAAGAGAAGGTGCAACATGAACTACATTGTAACACCCCACAAA